GGTCTGGGGATGATGGTCAGTGTGGTCTGGGGGCAATGGTCGGTGTGCTCTGGAAGTGACTGTCTGGGGACAATGGTCAATGTGGTCTGGTGAGATGGTAATCCTGGGGGTGGTGGTCACTGTGTTATGGGTGTGATGGTCAGTCTGTGGGTGATGGTCAATGTGGTCTGGGGGTATTGGTCAGTATTGGGGTGATGGTCAATGTGGTTTGGGCGTGATGGTCAGTCTGGGGGTGATGGTCAGTGCCGTCTGGGGGCATTGTCAGTGTGGTCTGGGGGAAGATGGTCAGTGTGGTCTGGGGGTGATAGTCAGTGCAGTCTGGGGGTGATAGTTAGTGTGGTCAGTGTGGTGTGGGCGCAATGGTCAGCATTGTCTGAGAGCGATGGTCAGTGTGGTGTGGGGGTGATGGTCAGTGTGGTGTGTGTGTGATGGTCAGTGTGGTGTAGGGGTGATGGTCAGTGTTGTCTGGGGGTGATGGTCAGTGTGGTGTGGGAGCAATGGTCAGTGCTTCCTGGGGGCGATGGTCAGTGTGGTGTGGGGGTGACGGTCAGTGGGGCAATGGTCAGTGCTGTCTGGGGGCGATGGTCAGTGTGGTGTGGGGGCAATGGTCAGTGTTGTCTGGTGGTGATGGTCAGTGTTGTCTGGGGGTGATGGTCAGTGCTGTCTGTGGGCAATGGTCAGTGCTGTCTGGGGGTGGTCAGTGAGGTGTGGGGGCAATGGTCAGTGCTGTCTGGGGGTGATGATCAGTGCTGTCCTGGGGTGTTGGTCAGTGTGGTGTGGGGGTGATGGTCAGTGCTGTCTGGGGGCGATGGTCAGTGTGGTGTGGGGGTGGCGGTCAGTGTGGTCTGGGAGTGATGGTCAGTCTGGGGGCAATGGTCTAAGTGGTCTGGTGGTGATGGTTAGTCAGGTCTGGGATTGATGGTCAATGTGGTCTGGTTGTGACAGTCAGTCTCGTGGTGATAGTGTGCTCTTGGGTGGTGGTCAGTGTGATCTGGGGGTGGTGGTCAG